CACCGCCGGGAGCAGCTTGAAGCTCTCCTGGAAGAGGCTTCCTGGGATAACTCACTATAAGATATCCTGGGGGCCAGCCAACGGTGAGTATCCCCATCCGTCAGTATCCCCATCCCTCAGTATCCCCATCCCTTGGTATCCCAACCCCTCAGTATCCCCATCCCTCAAGTATCCCCATCCCTCAGTATCCTCATCCCTCGGTATCCCCATCCCTCAATGTCCCCATCCCTTGGTATCCCGATCCCTCAGTATCCCCCTCCCTCAGTATCCCCATCCCTCAGTATCCCCATCCCTCGCTATCCCCATCCCTCGATATCCCCCTCCCTCAGTATCCCCATCTCTCAGTATCCCCATCCCTCAGCATCCCGATCCCCCGGTCGGGTGTGGGATGAGCACAGAGCACCAGGAACCCCCAAACCCAGCAGTTCAGCTCAGTTAAGCCTTTCCCCAAGCTCTAGGCGGGGTCTAAGTCTACAGGGATCAGCTGAAGCCCCAGAGCTGAGCCCTGAGCCGAGTTTTAGTCTCCAACAAAGGGATCCACTGGCTCTGAGCCCGGCTGGGATTGGGAAATCCAAGCAGTTCCCTTCCAGCAGCACAGGGGACACCTTGGGGACCAGCTCTGCCCTCCCTGCCCAGGTCCCCCAGGATCCGGGGGAGGGAGCTGCTGGAACAAGGATTATTGATCGTTCCCTTGGGGAAAGCTCCGCCCCCAGGAGGGGGGGAAATTCCCTCTGGGAACATTTGGCTGCTCCAGGAACGTTGGGAGATCCCAACCTGCCTTCCCACAACTCCCCCCTGCTGTTCCTTGGGCTCCCTGCCCTCAGCTCCCCCCGGGGCCGATGGATTCAGGGAACATCTGATGTGGGACGTGACCTTTTCTCCCGGCGGTCCAGGAAGTCCAGGAACTCCATGGAGCCCCACAGGGCCTGGCAACCCAGGTTTTCCCTAAAAAAGGAAGATCCAGCCTCAAATCTTTCCCTTCCAGCCCGAAAAGGTTCAATTTGAAGTGCAAAAAACACGAGCAGAGAAACATCTCCTCCGATATTCCCCCCCTAAAGTGAGGGTTTAGAGGGTATTCCCAAATTCCCTTTTCCTGCAGGAATGAGTTACGGATCACTGGCTTTGCTGAGGAAGGGAAAATAAAGAGGTGTTGGCTTGGATGGGAAGAGAATCCGTGGAAAGGGCTGATCCCTGGGATACAGCTCCACAACATGGAAATGGGAAGGAAAAAAGGCCCCATGGATCGTGAGGGACAGGAACAGGAAACTTGGGAAGGAGCAGGAACAGGACATGGACATGATCCCTCAGGAATCCCTCAGGTTCGAGCCTTTTGTAATCCAGGGATTGCCCAAATTTTCTTTTCTTTTATTATTATCTAAATACATTATTATTATTATCTTTTATTGATCACCTTTTATTGATTACCTTTTATTGATTACCTTTTATTGATTATCTTTTATTGATTACCTTTTATTGATTATCTTTTATTTATTATCTTTTATTGATGACCTTTTATTGATGACCTTTTATTGATTATCTTTTATTTATTATCTTTTATTGATGACCTTTTATTGATTCCCTTTTATTGATTCCCTTTTATTTATTACCTGTTATTTATTACCTTTTATTTATTAT